GAGGCATGTCAAGGAGGCACTTTGTGACAGATCTGTGCCAGTGGATATGGTGAAGGCCGACTTTGCTGGCGCCAGATTCGGAAACCAGACGGCACTGCTCCTGTACAGGGCCAAAGCCCTGCTGACTTTTTGCACGTGGGATTATGGAGAGCAAACTGGCGCACAGTATGAAACCTATATAGAGCTCGAGTATGCGCATCAGAACAAGCTTGCTATTCTGCCAATCCAGCTCTCCCATGAGTTTCCACCCTGCCCCAAAGATGAGGAAGGTCAGGCACAAAATGCTTTGGTATTTCGGAGCGACCTGGTGCGGATCATAGACAAAGACATGTCGGACCCGGCGAGGGTTGCAGAGGAGATCAGTGATGCCTGGTTCAGAGCAATCCAGTATATGTGTCTATGCGACGCTTGAAGATGAGTCTGTCCTGTTCTGAGCTTTCTGGACTTTGCTCTTGCACTTCGTTGCAGGGGCCTTCTTCCGCATGGCCGGAGGCTTTCATCCTGCTTTCATCACACTCGTCGGCAGCCTATGACTTCTGCCGAAGGACTCCCGCAAGTTTTTTCCCGTAAACCTTTCCTTGATCAGCATCGAGAGTTTTGGGCGCAGAAGCCAAGAGCAACAGCGACAGAGAGTGATTGTTCTCAAAGGACAAGTCAGTCTAAATGAATTCGAATCAGGAAAGCAAGCGCTTCACTTCTCCAGGTGTGCCTTACTTCCCTGTCTCTGCTGCTGACTGTCTCTAGCCCATGCTCTCGGTGCTTCCAGAGTCTCACCTGAAAAAAACTCTCAGTCATATATAATCTAAACCCCAAACCCTACGGCCCCTAATATAGAACTTTATTATAGATCCCTTTTAGAACCCTTTAAGGATCCCTTTAAAGGAACCCCCAAAGAATATGTACTCTCAGTCATATGGCCCAGGGAGCCAACGCCGTACCCTGGAGTCCATGGGTCGTGTGGGGCCGCGAAAAAATCCTCGGAGTTCGGAAGCCCTGAAGCCTGCAAGATTCAGGGTTTAGGGGGGAGGTTTTAGGGTTTAGGTTTTTTTTGGGTTTAGGGTTTAGGGTTTAGGGGCTTTTAGAGGTTTAGGGTTTAGGGGGTTGGTGGCTTCGGGGTTTGGGGTATAAGAGCCCTGAGAATTCAGAAGCCTCGAAATCTCACGGCCGCCACGTGCGACCGGGAGCTAGCATTGTGGGTTGCAGGCCAGGGTGGTAGGGTTTCGGATTGTCGGTTGGGATATTGGATCTTACATTCTAGGTACTAGATACAACTAGTCGGTCGTGTAGGGTCAATGTACATGAGATTTGTTGCGTCGGCGTAAACCCTTTGAGTCAGTGTTGCAATTTCTGATGACGTGACTTCGCACGCATCTTCCCCGAGCGACCCCTCTTGACGCGAAGGCTGTTCTGCAAGGGTCCAAGCTCTCTCCTTCAGATCTTCCTTCAAATGGTTCCTTAAAGGATTCCATAAGGGCTACTAGAAGGGTTTAGGGTTTAGGGGTTTTCTTCAGATCTGGGATCTGGGCCTGTATTTGTTGGGAGTTTTGCGTCGCTTCAGGGTTGTGAAACAGAAATCACTTCCGGTGCCGCTGCGGCTTCTCTCACAGCACAGCAGCGTACTCGACATTATGACAGGTAGAGCGGCAGCAGCTTCAAAAACTTCATGCACACCTACAACGATATTGGAGCAACAAAGATATTGGCCAAACTGATGCTGCAGGCAGTTCGGATGATGCAGTGGTTGAGCTTGCAAGCTGCAGTTGCAGCTTTCAATTCCTAGACTCTTGGCCTAGCACCTTTGCAGGGAGATGAAATCCGTCATGGCGGAGGAAGCTTTCGCAGCGCATTGCCTGGAGGTCGATCGGGCCTTGCAAGAATGCAGGCTTTCGTTCTCAGCATTCGGCACAGCGCAAGGAACGGCGTCGGACGACGTAGAGCGTTCACGCAGACGGTTGTGGGAGGACGTTTCCAATCTTATGGAGTTCAAGTCCGTAGAGGTTAAGGCCAATGCGTCCTCGCAAGCACCAGCCAGCACAGCTTCCGCCGGCTTTCCTCCGACTCTTCTGCATCAGCTCAAGCCGTTCGTTGCGCCGTACGATACACCTGGCGTACAGCAGGCCACAGATCTCGTCAACGGCGTGCTGCGGGAGGCATGCAGGCTCCTGGATGCTATGCCTGCTAGGCTAGAAGAGCATGTTCGGGACGTTCTCTTGCGGGGTGAGAGGCATCTTCGAACCGAGCCGAATCTTGATGGTGCAGATGAGGCCATGGCAGTCGCCCGAGAGATCCTGCAGCGACAGAACTCTCCTGGGTCATCCAGCTCGGCTGCCAGTGCGATGGCATCGATGGCCTGCGTGCGGGCAATGCAGATTCCGGCTCCTGACATCATCTTGGAACTCGCAAGGCGAGTGATGGATGCCTGGCATCTTACCGCACATCGTGAGTTGCAGAGTCATCTGGACACGGCTGCATTCAAGGATGCTGCCAATGTGATGAACAAGTTCGTCAAGCACCGCCAAGAGGTGAACAACCCGGTGAAAGCAAGGGTTCTGCTTGTGAACGAACGGCTGGTAACAACATCGCAGGATCCAGCTGATCTAGTCGGGCACTCCTTGGCAAGTGCTTTCGCGAAGGCATTGGAGGCCGGGGTATCCATCATATTTCTACTGGACCAATCAGGTTCCATCACTCAGCCCGTTTTTGACGAGGTGCTGAAGAAGGGAGCGGAGCAGCTCGTAGAGTTTCTGGTGCAGAGTCAGGAGACTGGCGGGCTTGAGTTCGCAGCCGTGGCCTATGGAGGTGAAATCCAAACAATCAGTGGCTTCACTACCGAGGGGACAGTCCTTGCTGCGGCAATCAGAAATCATGTCTACCGTGGTGGCGGAACTCCCACTGACCAAGCCTTCCGCCGTGCGCGAGACTTGTTTAGCCAGCAGCCCTCTTCGGCCTCCCC